GTTGCTGATCCACTGATAGTAGGCACGATGGTGTACCTCCATTACTATGAGGATCGAAAAGAAAACAGGTGAATAGTATATACTAGTCGCCTGTAGCCTGTGGGTAGGCAATTATTCTACTAACCTATTAATATCGTGTCGATGCTAGGTACACCAGCGGCCCGGAACGTCCGGTTTGCAAGCTAAATCAGCACCCCAATAAACCAGAGCAATTTGCCTTGGGGGGCCTGCTCGCTGTTGGATCAACCACAGGATCGACAAATGGATGACGGTCAAGTCTGTCAGGGGGGTCACGTGTTGGAGCCCCTAGAGAGAAGGTAGCTATACATTCGAAGCTGCGCAGATCACAGAGAACATCCAGTACCTACCTCACTACCACTTCCCCTCCTTCCCACATGTTCATGTTCCCTTGCTCTCGAAGCAGGTGGGCAGATCATCCACCATGCTGTAGGGTCTACACTTGAGTGTCCCCCTCATCTCGCGGCTAACTGCCCCGTTGCCTCTCGCCCCCCTCCTTCATGACCAGGTGATCGTTTCCCAGCTGCAATGCAATGTCCCTACGATCGGACCCTCCTCCCGCCGCCCATTCAGAGCGCCCCATTGCCCTCCTCCCCTAGTCTCAGCCTCAGCACCTGATGAAGCACAATTGTAGGGAGGCCACAGACGGGAACAGACCATCTCGACCAACCCCGCGAGGCTTTTGTGGATGAAGCGTGGGCCAATCGGCTTCTAGTGTTGGTGTGTGGCGTGCAATACTCGTGGCCGCGACAGGGATCCAACCTCGATAGGCTGCTTCCATCACGAGGGTCCGGCAACAATCTTGATTCATAACTCGTCTTCTACGAATCGACGGGGCTGTCTAAAATGGGACTTAAGATAGCGAGTACGGATACACGATGTCTGTGCTGCACCTATCCCTGCTGGCCGGATTCCAGGCTACTGGACGAGTGGCTGGCCAAGACCAACTGTTTCTCTGCAGAGATTTGTATGGCTCGCCCCCGTCCTCGGCGATCGCATCAGCACGGTTAGGCCTGCGATCTTAGCAACTTGACCAGGGAAGCTACCAATGGATGCCACGAGCAGGATGCTTCGATGATTAAACTCCCCGTCCAGATATTTCCCTAGTAAACGAATCACTTTCCCAGCATCGTCTTTCTTCCAGGGGGAGGCTAACACCGGCTTTGCCTCGATCTGCGCCGTCCATCCTTGACTGGGAAAACCGAGCTTTGGACATGCAAAAATCTAGTCCATCCATGAAGCTCTTCACGCTTGATATAACCTTCCTTAACACATGCCGGCTCCCTCCTGCTTGTCTTCGTTGGCTATCCGCCACACGCTTTAGTCTTTGCCTTGGCTTTGCTGCACCTTCCCGATCCATAAGCAAGGCGGAAACACAGTTGTGGTTGTATCTCGTTGAATGTGACCACGAGTTATTTGACTCCAGGCATCTCTCTCGGTTGCACCTGACCAACACCCAACCACCTTGTGACCTGCCGACATCACCGTCATCCCTTACTTTTCGACCATGCCAAGTGGCGCTGGAGAGTGAGGCTTGTACCCCACGTCGCCTTACCATCACGCCCAATGTGCGGAAAGTGTAGTTCAGCTTGGCCTGGGACACACTGGGAAAGTCGCCTCCCGTCAACTTCGATCGATCTGAACCTATTGAGGGGTATATTGGTCCATCTTGTGCCACAGAATTCCCCATTCAGTAGGTTCCCTTGGTAGGACACTCTCAAACTTTGCTCGTACAATTACGCCCGAGGTCTAAGTGATGGAAGGCGCACGGGAGGAGTGAACCCAACCTTGATGTCGTGGAAAGTGCAAAAAGTTATGCGTAGTAGTGAAAAGGGAATCTTTGATCTATCTATGGGTAGGTAGGTTGGTCGGAATCAACGCTACATACATCCAAACTGAAATCAAGTTATCATTACATATGTGTGTGCTGTAGACCGGCATGATTCAGCTTCCAGCAAATCGGTGACACGAACATACTACGGTATTGTGTACAGGGAGCCTGGAAGATGGCCGAATGATGAAGAATGACAGGAGTGAAGGACATATGAGATTCAAGACGTAAACTGAAGCTCTCCGTGATGCCTGTGGCTGTGTGATTGCTCCCCCACTCCTCCCATGTGGCGATCACCGTGCCTTCTCTCCCAGCCATCCTCTTTTCTCAACCATCCGCCCAAGGGTTAAATGCGCGATGCCTTCGTATCGGCGTGGGGGTTTGCCTGGGGTCCCCTGGATAACTCTCGTTGTCTCTTGGCCTGTTCGCGTTCAACATACCCGTTGGTCTTGGCTCATGCCTGCATCGCACATCCTGAGAGAAACCCCTGTCATTCTGGTGGCTCTGCTGTGCCAGATGGCTAACTTGTCTGTCTTGGTGATAGAGTTGGATGTTATCAACACATACAAGGCCCACGTTCCGGGTCATTCGGGGGTCTATGCCTCAATCCTTCGACGAGATTCTTTCACGGCCGTTAACATTTCCATCCCTGTTCTGAGATTCTCTGGTTGCTGGGGAGCTTGTTTTGTTTTCGGGGGTGGCTGTAAGTTCTCGGCCTTGTCTTGGCCAGGGGGTGGCGGGTGGATGGCTGTATCTCGGCGACCCTGAGCCGACGATTTCTCGTCCTCTTTCAGGTGGACAATCATTCTAGAAGATCTCTAGATCTCTGGAAGTTTAGCTGCTACGGGGATGATGGCCCACGGTGTCCCTTTGGGCTCAGAAAAGGCTACCGTGTGATTGTTTGATGTTGCACCACACCCCTCGACCTTTTCCTTTCCCTCGTGGGTTGCATGAGTATTCTCTTTCCTAACAGCTCTTGCATAACTATGCCATATCATAAGGTCCCTTGACGGTGGCCTCACTCCGTCATTGGCGTGTTGGCTCTCAGTATCCCATGTGTGCTGCCAAGACCTCCCTATATGCTGCATATAACGCTTCTCTGAACGACGCCCTCGCTTCGACGATAGATACTCATGGCGTAAGCGAGAGACGTGGAGGTCTCCCCCCATGTGACCCGGCTTTCTTGGGTTTCTTCGGAGATCACTGCTGAAGCTCCTTGTCAGTTGTCTGGCGGTTTTCACCAGGTTTGACCGCTACATACGCCATTGACCGCCCACCCCACAGATGGGGATTGAGGGCCGTGGTTGACATGGCTGGCTTGGCTCCCCGTGGAGATGCCACATATGGTAAATCCACCGTCGCGTTGTATCATTGTTTTACTGCCTACCCTCAGCAGGACACAAGCTTCACAAGTCACTGAGTCGGCCTCTATCGCTCGTGAGGTGGGGGGGCGCGAGAGCCGGGATGCGACTCCCTGGCTGTGAAGTCGGTGGCTCGGCTACGTCATCCCTCGCGATCTCGGAGATGACGATGGCGAGGGAAAGATTCCAGACAATGTAGAGAGGCCCGCAGACATGGCGATGTTGTCAGCCCAGCCGCTCAAGAACCCACGGTCATCTGGGTGAGCACGCTGACAGTGAGGTGGCTGAGGGGGCCGCCGCGTTCGAATACTGGGATCCCTGCACAAGCCCGTGGGTGTTTCACCGCTCCCTGGCATGGGGAGCCATTTAGCATCTTCCACATAACCTTCAACTCCTGTTCACGCAGCCAGGCGTCAACCAAGGCAACTTGGAGACTGGCTGGGTATGGGCGAGTGGCCGTGGCTGCCGACTGGTCAGGAACGCGGAATAGGGGAAGGGAGACGTGCGGTGAAGTTGCACCCCAGGAAACCGGGCTCTGGCCGCATAGGTTTGACTGCTGTGAGGTGTCATGATGAAGAACATGAACCGCTTGTTGAGAGCCTGTGTTGCTGCGTTGACTTGGACTAGCCATATAACCGTGGTTCTCGAGCAGCAGGTAGATTAGAGCTGGGTGTGTTGACTTGAGAGAGACACAAGATAACATAAATGTTCAATGGATAACCCCCCCCTATTCTATGTAAGGAGAAGATTTATAACCTCGGAAGTGATAAAATTTCACATTTAATGGGAATGATGATTCGGCGTGTCTAGAAACAGGTGGAACATGGCTGGCGAGGCTTCGGGTTGAGTCGATTAGTTCAAAGAGTCGCGGCCAGAAAACGAGCGCACCGTCCCAGCCAAACAACACGAAAATGAATAAGAATATGGGAGCCGCATTTGGGATTGCTTTAGCTGGAGACTGAAGGCAACGTTAGCCACGAACATTATGCTTGTTCCCTCAGTCTCCCTAGGCCCAGACTCACAAGCTCGGTAAATTACCATAGCCATTCAAAATCGATTGGATCTCGGGTGGTTTTATACACTTTTTGAGACAGCTATCGAGGATAAATCTTATCTCTCTTGTCAACTGAGAGAGAGTGCGTGTTGCGGTTTGACCTACATCAATACTAGGTGCCAGAGGGTAGAACTCGTCTGCCACAGCAACATATTGGGGACAATTAAGCAAATAATTATCTTGAATCTTCATTTTTGGGGAACTAGTCATCCTCCACACGCCCAGCGCCTGTCACGGACTGGTTAGACCGTCGTCCTAGAGCACATGCTCAGCGCATCACATCATTAAGACCTCAGGATTGAGGGTCGCCACTGAGCCAATTGATCATGATGTTATCCATATATAAAATTAAGAGCCAGAGAAAGCGGGTAGATTTCAACATGACAATTAAAAAAAATAGGCTGGGGTAGATCGGAAGTAGTTGGACATTCATGACATGAAAGCCTCAAACCCACAGCCAAAGCCACCAATCGACATCGTGTTCTAATAACTTGACAATCCATACTAACAACGCGAAAATACAATCTAGCTGAGCTATAAATGAGCAAGATAAAAACATTTGATCTAAAAACTAACTGAAAACATCAAAAGTCAACACTGATAAGCGTACAGCACACACATCTTGAGCAGCCTGTCCACCACGATGGCCATCACCACGGCCACCATCTGGTTGGAGCATCTCTCAGATCGGTGCAACTCCCCATTTTAACCTATGAAAGGCCTGTGCGAATCTGGCCTAGCTCTTGGCGCGTGTGTCCTTCTTTTGCTTCTTGGCTGGCTTGCTGGCGGCGGGAGGAGCAGCAACTTTCCTCTTCTTCGACTTGGGCATCTCCGAGGAAGCAGGCTGCGTGGAATTTTTACTAGCTTTTGGCTCAGTCTCATCCAGAGTTCGCTTCTTGGACTTGGCACCTGTGGGCTTCGTAGCACCGCCCTTCGCGTCATCACGGCGTGGGTCTGGCTTTGCTGCTGCATTCTTCTTCTTCTTTGCAGGCTTTGCTTCTGATGCCTTTGGTGCCGCCTTGGGCTTGGGCGCGACTGGCTCGGGTTCAGGTTCAGGTTCGAATCGATCTGGTGCTTTAACCCGGCGGCCGGACCTTGTCCTTACGGGAGCTGGAGCTGGAGGCGCTTCCACTTTCTTGCTGGAGGTAGCTCCGGCCCGACTTTTGGGTTGAGCCTTGGGTTTGGTCTTGGGTTTTACGACTCGGCGGGTTGTGGGATTCTCACTACCTTCGTCTTTGTCATCATCGGCGTTCTTGTCGCCATTACGAACCTCCTGCTCGTTTACCACTGGCTGCTGCGTAATCAGACCCGGACCTGCTATAGTTTGTGCTCCAGCCTCTCTGTATGATTGATGATCGGCTCGAGAACAAATCAAACGATGTACATCTGGGCCAAGCGGGATGCGTTCACTCTGATCTGGAACCGCGTTGATTCTCCGACCGTTGATTCTATAAGTAGTAACATGTAAGTCGACTCGCTCCTGATGAGCTCCAGCATCGCACAACGGATGTTCATAGCGAGGAACCCATGACCGGTTCGTGTGTTGGCAGGAAATCATCTCTGTGATGCGGTCGGCTTGGCTGTACCACTCCGGAATGCCCAGCTCGTTGCAAATGATGAGGAATAGCAGATCGTAGGCTCTCTCCAGCGCATCTGGGGTGTTCTGCGTGCGAGCTTCGTAGCCCGTCCAGTCGGCTATGAGCAGTGATGGCTGTGGGTAGTTGTGCCATTCCCAGTCTCTCGTGCCTAAATTGATTTCCAATATTTGAACATTTGGGTTCTCTGCGACATGGTTGGAGTTGAGCCGAAGCGTGAGAAAAGCCCAGACAGCACTCAGATAGCCACACTCCCAGGATTTGCACTGGGGGGTTACCAGCGGGACGAAGAACTGAAAGTCGTAGGGGAGTCCCATTCTGTCCCAGAACCGGGCCCAGCCCGTTGCCGTTGCCTGGAACCGGGCCGCATCATTGGAATAATTCCTCAGGGAATCAAATATGTATAATTGACTGGTCAGCCGGTCAAAGATGGTAATGCTCCAGTGCAAGGCCTGCTGCTCTGTCTGGAGGTTGACCGGCGCGACCAGCCATCTTTTGCCCGCGATCTCTGCCTTGACTTTTTCGATTTGCATGTCGACTTGAGGTTCGTCGTCCCCAAACTTGTAAAATGGCGGCTTTGCCATGTAGAGACCTTTACGCGTACCGAATTCGGTGAACTTGTTTCTCAACAAAGCCTTGTGGCCGTCGGAGAAGATTGTAAAGGGTTCCAGAACTGCTACGTCTTCTTCCATTCCATATGTGGCTATCTTCAGCAAGTGGTGAAGCTCGATGCCTTCCAACCATGCAGACATATCGGCGGCGTTCCGGACCATCTTGGACAGCAGGTTGTGCATGACCTTGATATGCTCCAGCCATGCTTCGTCGTCATGCCATTCGCTGTTTTGCAGTTGGGGGGGAGACATGTACTCTGTCTGTAACTTTTCGAGCCGTCCGTATGTCTGCTCTAACCGTTCCCTGGGTTCTCCAGAGATAGGGCTTTCACAAAAAGGATCCGGAAATGGCTCTATTTGCTCGCCCGTCTTGAGCTGCCTCATTGTCTCATTCTCTTGGTCTAGAGGTTGCTTTCGAAGAACAAAGAGTTCAGCATTTGGGGCTCCACTCCTCCCTTGTCGCACAGCTTCTCCAGGGAAGAGATGCTGCGGACCCCGTTGCTGGAGTTGAACGGCGCCCTTGATTGCTACACGTAGCACCGGCCCTGGTGGTGGAGCATTGTTGCTCTCTGGATGTGCAGCCGGGGGAGCATGCCCCTGGCCGGTAACTGTCTGATGGGACGCCATGGATGTGGAATCGAGAGGTGGCGGCTGGGAATTCGTGTTCTCGGAGATATCGAGAGGGTTAACCTCGTCGTTCTGGAGAAATGCTGTTAACTTGCTGAAAAGATTGAATATCATCGGGGAGCGAGTTTGAAAAGCATCAAGGTCGAGGTTTTGAGAGTACATGATCTACATTCGGACGATACGGCACTTATTTGTACATGCTCCCATTGTGGGATTAATCTAGAGAGGATTGCGTTGCGCCTTGAATGGTCATTGTTAGAAAGGACGAAATAGCCATTCTAAATACAACAAGCGCGGACAATGGAGTGAGAACAAGTTGAAGAGCGCAGACAAACGACGACAATGAATGAACATTGCTTTGTGTGCGGCTTACATTAAGATGTCCCGACAAACAAGCAATACTAAATAATATCCTGTATTGAGATCATTTATAGCATTTTAGTGTCAGTTATTTCGTTGCGGTTGGCAATTTCTTTCAGATGGTTGGAGTTTTATTTGTGAGTTAGCTTCCCAAAATTCATCATTGATTCACCATTCTTTGTAGTATCTTGTTGTAGGATGGTTCAATTTGGTAGACAGAGGTGTTTGAGAGATCATAGTAGACATTTTATATTATCATATGTACCGAATTTGTGTTTCTATTTGCATCTCTATTTGCATCATGGGGTATCATATCAAACAAGAAGACCAACGCCAAAGCAAGCACCCCGTTTACGCGCTGCGCCATTTCCTCCGTCATCTGCCGTCTTCTGGTTTAGGCCACCGAAATTGGTAATCCTTGATGTGGTGGGGGAAGTCGTCCGAATTGTCCTCGCGGTTGTAATAGGGGGGATGATGCGTTGCTCCCCCTCGACCGCTTTCCAAGTTGATCCATGCGTCTGACTGATTGGTCCGCGTCGCACTCGTCGATAATTGACCTGTTCCCATACTCTTCTTGGTAGTGGGATTGGTGGATGTTGCCTTGGAGGTGAGCTTCCGGGTCATTTGGCCGAACTTGAGCGTGATGGGCCTGAAGGTGACGACGCAACAGCAGAAGATGCTCAATGCCATCTGGACCGTCGCCCATACGCCCATGAGATATTGGTTTTCTGGGTGATTTTGTTAGCTCTGTGCATCTTCGTAGTGTGTAGTCTAGTAAATGGATTGAATAAAGATGTACGTACCGACGGCGACGCCATTCGCGACAGAAACGCCGATCTTGACGAACCCAATCACACCCGCCCTGGTTGAGAAATATCAGCTTAGTTGCGACTTCAGGCAGATTTCGATGGCAACCCAAGGGCGCAACTTACAAGCCTCCAATCGCAAATATAATGGACAGTTGCCACTTGGTTCTACGAGCTGTTCGAAGACTGCGCAGCATAATGACGGCCTGGATTGCCATGATGAAATCGATGAGGGAGTTGACGGATTCGTTGACGACCAGGAAGGGAACGTATTCGATGCATCGGCCTTCGAGATCGGGCAGCCAGAACTTTTGGACGGGGACGCAGGTGAAGATGTCGACGAAGAGGTTCTCGATCGTGTGCAGGGTTTGGATGACGGCGATGATCTTGATCCACAGAGAGTACGTCTGATTGATGCCGAAAATACGCTGGTAGAGGAGGAGAATGCTCAGTTTGGAGCAAAGCTGATTGATGGGGAACGTGAGAGTCGAGGCCCAGAGCATCTACATGCGCAGGTTAGATGTGATCATGGCAATGCCCGACCGGAACAGCGACTTACCCTGTTAGATGCAGCATTATCCTCGTATGTAGGCTCTGCTTTCACGTTCATGGCCACTGTTGTACTGTGAGAAGGACGGTCCATAGGAGAGAGTAAGGCGCAGACGAGAAGACGTACTCATGGCAAGGAAGACCACCCAGAGAATAAAGGCGATCAGCGCTCCCAGAGCGAACCAATCCTCGGCGGCGAGACTCCTCTTGGCCAATTTGGTCGCCCAGAACCGCATGCCGGTGACGAGGAAGCTCAAGGGGAAGAAGACCAAGACGACGATGAACCCAGCCATCAAGACCGGGTTCGACTGGAGTCCCGATACCAGGTCACTCATCTCGATCCCGTGCGACACCTTCACGAGGTACCGTGCAGGAGGGGAAACGGCATGGGAAGTAAGTGGTATGCAAGATCGTGAGGCGTGTGCAGGGTCCCCGCGCCTATATGTGTTGACCGACAGCTGGGCCAAGTGCCGAGGGCTGCAGCCCGACGTCGGTAAGCATGCCTCGTCCCTCTTTCTTTGTTGCAATGGGATAGGTGCATTAGTCAATGTTGAATCCTTCAGGAGCACCCTTGCGCGCGGGTGCAGCGGTGCCCTGCCACCTCAGCCAAGTCTGCGGGATTTCACGTCACAGAGGCCTGCGGAATTGGCCCGTCCGACTCGACACGAGGCCTGATCCCGGGAAGAGAACCGCCAAGCGGAGGGTCTTCAGCTTGTGTGTCATGGCTGGCTTTGGATTTAGCTGGGACGCGTGAAGCGATCGTGGGATGAGAATGGGAGGCATAGGGCGAGCTCGTGACTACATGTAAGATAACAACGAAGGTGCCGGGAACAAAGGCATGGCTGGGAGAGATCGTCGCTGCATGACCCTGGAAGCTGAACGATCGCGACAGGCCTCGTAACAGGCTTTCCGCCATTTGCCCGACCGCGCGATCCTCCAGCTAGTCAAGTTGACACTCGTTTCACCGTCCACCCTTGCCTTGGGCCTGTGTCTTAATATATCCATCCAGCTTCTCTCTATCGACAAAGCCCCGACCCTGGCCCATGCCCAGCCTCCGCAATGACTCGAACGAGCAGCTTAAATGCCCCCAATCTCACCAATCTACCCCGCTGTCCGATTCAGTGTCGATGAGGCCGTCCGCTAATGAGACACTAATGATTTACCCGTCTGACAGAGTCTTGACCTCACCATCTGCTGCTGTCCCTATGTACTCGTCATGGTAGGAATGTTTTGTCCGGAAAATTCAAATGGTTTGTCCAGTCCAATAATCATTATGATGAAACCAAGTCGTCCACAAAGCAGGACACATCATACCATTCGTTGAGGTTAAAAGCCCTTCCATCAATTGCAGCTATGATCCATCCATCTAAATTGGCTCCTCATCCACTGCTACATGGCCGTTTCTCTGTCGCTATCCGCAGCCTTGATTAATTAGATCATCGATTCATCATCATGATGTTTTTTACGTCGCGGTGCTGCACCACATTAAATGCATTCCTACCCAAACCGACGCTACATAACCGAGTCGCAATTCGCCTTTTCTCCAGCCGAATCTCTAACCAAAGACCTCGAGTTACTGTTAATCAATTAAGACTATCAAACCAAATCCAGCAGCGCAACATGTCGTCCACCAACAAGAAGGATAACCAGATCTTTACCCGAGACAGCCTCTTTGACCTCAAGGGCAAGGTCGCCCTCGTCACAGGTAGGTTTTTGATCTCGTCTTGACATGAAAAAGATGCCCGTCATAAAAGCATGCGGCCTAACATCGTATATAGGCGGCGGATCTGGCATCGGCCTCATGGCGACTCAAGCCCTGGCTGCCAACGGTGCCAAAGTCTACATCACAGGCCGGACCAAGTCCAAGCTTGACACCGTTGTGTCCACCTATAATAAGGACATTCCGGGCTCTATCCATGCACTGCCCGCCGACGTCAGCAACAAGGAGGGTGTTCGTAAGCTGCACGACGACTTCTCCAAACACGAAGACTGTCTCTGTATTCTGGTCAACAATGCCGGCATCTCGAGCGCGAGCTTCGAAACCGAGAGCGAGTCGGCTGCTGAAATGAAGGAGCATCTGTTCGATGCGAAGGAGAGCACCTTTGAGGATTGGAACAACACCTACAACACTAATGTCACTGGCGTGTACTTCACCACAGTTGCATTCCTTCCCCTCTTGGAGAAGAGCTCGGAGAAGCACCATGGCTGGTCCGCGACTGTCATCAACATCTCTTCCATCTCTGGGCTTGTCAAGTCGGCTCAGCATCACTTCGCGTACAATGTCTCCAAGGGGGCGGCGATCCACTTGAACCGCCTTCTAGCTAGTGAGATTGCCGCGAATAAGCTCACGATCCGCGTCAACAGTATCGCGCCTGGTGTGTTCCCTAGCGAGATGACTACCGAGGGCAGTGATAAGCATCAAAAGAGCCACATCCCCGCTGAGAAGTACAAGGAGAAGGTCCCTGCCGGTCGCCCGGGTAAGGATGAGGATATGGCTAGTAGCATTCTTTACTTTGCTGTGAACCAATATTTAAATGGGCAGACTGTTGCTGTTGATGGTGGCTATACGTTGGCAGCTGGGCAGTAAAAGGTTAAGATGGAACGGTTCAGATATCAAATTGAATAAGTTTGCCATACACAAACCGTTGGGAAAGATCACCCAACGGACATGTTGACATATCAATGAAGTGGAATATCAGGAAAACCAATAATCGGAGAGTGCAAATCTCAAGCTGCCGGCCATCGGATCTGTAGATACAGAGAGACTTCCAGCTGTCTTCTATAACATTAAATCGGAACACTCTAAGCTATGTAGTGACAGGGGATGGCGTTTTCCTGTTGCGGCCCAAGGGTACAGGGAAGGATGGCCGTACGCAGTTACAAGGGTTATCTCACGAGGTGTCATTGTTCTCCACCCATCGTGGGAATTCGATAATGAATGTGAAAGTAATGACCTAATTCGTCAATTGATCGTCGTCTCCCATAATTCGCATACTTATAACTACCTCTCTCTGCACGTGTGGCCGGGCAAAGATGCAAAGGAATGGGCAGGGTACTAGGACAGACTTCCCTCAGACAGACATTTGAGAGTTTTGCCGCTCCGTCAGGCCTATGAACAAGTTCTAGGAACGATAACAAACCAGCCACCCACGATCACCAGGGCATGGCAGGCGGGACTAGGGGCCTGGTGAATAAAGCCCCCGCTGGCACTTTTTGATCTGGAGCGGGGCTGCAAGCTAACAAGAAAATGGCAAGAATGACATGTACTGACAGCTGTCCAGAGCAGGGGAGGCATTCCTTGCCGGTGCGAATGGCTCTGGAAAATTGGGCTGAATGTCATCGAGAGTGTGTGGTCGGGTATTGCCCCTTCTGTAACTGAGACTGGGTATCGACCCATTCCACGACCTTACGGAGCGCTGGCTATATGAGGCAGACGTTCCTTCGAGTCTGAGAGCCGTCTCTCATACGCAGTTGTCCGAATAGACGCTATGGCCATCAGATCTCTGCGCCAGCACGGCTGCGTATAGCTCCCTGCACGGCTGCGATCCTGGTTGCTTGAACATGGCAATTTAAAATAGCAGAATAAATGGAACAATCTCGCATGATTCCGTTTTCCCCTCTCCGGCTTTGGAAGGAATGCACATTCCAAGTGGCCGCTTCGGTTAGGATTCCGAACCAGACCACCGGATATCTATCATGGACTGAAGCCAAGCAAAACATACGGTTGCCGGACTCATGTTTTGGCCTAGTGTAGTGGCCTTAATTTGTAAATTTCGATTTGATTGTTTGATACCAAAATGTCATTATTTCCTTTGGTGACGAAATCAAAGGGTGTGCCTACCGCACAGTCGAGAAGACTGATTTCCACTCCTACAAACAATACCTATTCGCCGTGGTTTAAAATTGAACCGAAGTTAGCGAGTCTTTTTGACTAATCTACTATGTACAGTCGATGGAAGGCGCACCATGATTTCGCCTTTCGTAGGAACAGGCCTTACCTGTTATAAGTTCAGAGAACTAGATATTACACTCTGTGCCGGATGATGCGTTGATGGAGCCTGAGATTTAATGAAGAAGCTATGTTGTAGTAGTACTAATTCATTCATATTAGGATTATGGAATATAGTCAACTAATAACAAAGTTAGGTATCAACAAGAAAGCGAACCGGTTGCACTCCCTAACCCCCGTCTATGGATAAGTTTGACTGAAACGGGAGGTAACTCCATTCCTCTCATGTACTAGTATCTAACACTTGGGTAAGCGAAGCGTGTAACCATACAGTCCTCAGCGGCAGGGTTCAGTGCAGGATAAGAAACATCAGATGCACATTTGTAGCCGAGGATGATGCAGTGCAGTTTCCAACTGTACAACGATAATATAAACGTATTAGAAAGAACCCAGCCAATTTATGACCAAAGACCAATCGAAGCCATCCAATGGATACATATAATGACGTATTGTTGCTAGAGCCGAATATCAGCTGGCAGGAAGGAACAGCGAATATCTCCCATATGGAAAGAGATAACGAACAGTGTGCACATGTTTGGTACTTACGGAGGAATTTTATGATTTGGAAAGTGCCCATGGCATCTCCTCCATACCGTCGTTCCAGGGTTCTCTTGTTTATTTGTTTTCTCACACGCTTCAACATTGGAGTCTTTTGCTCGCGACACTTCATATCTCACGCCTTCTTCTAGCTCTTGACCCATATCATTTCTAAACATCTGTCACTCGCTTCCAGAAATTCATATTAGAGCATCTTTACTACAATTCATCCATATTCAACATGTCTCGTTGCCGTTGCTACATCGTCCCGCCTCACCTTCTCAGGGGCATTGCTGATTCCGCCAGCAATCCCGACCACATTCGCCATGCCGCTGCGCACTCACTCGCCTCCAGAGAGCGCGTCACAATTGCCCGAAAGGACCTCTTCGCCCACCTCACTACCCCTCGTGGATACTTCCACACTTCTAAGGCCCCAGCTCGCCGTCGAATTGTGCCCGACGCGCTGCTACGACATGTCGCCGACTCAGACAAAGCGGATGAGACCACCCGTTCTCGGGCTCGCCGAGACCTTGAGCACCTCCAGCAAGTGCTTGGCCGCGTGAGAATCTCGCAAGCAGGTCTAGGTTGTTTGAACTCCTCCGTGATTGCTGAAAAATGATGAGCGCTTTGCTAACTGGACCTCCACAGCTGTACCAACCGAGCAGAAACCGGCCTTCGACGGCGAAGGCAAGGATAAAGATCCTAAAGAAAGCTACTACCGAGCGGTCCACGACGCCAAGCACAGCTTTGACGAGAGCGATCTTCCTGGGCAACTTATCCGATCCGAGGGCGAGCCCGATGTCAAGGACAAAGCAGTGAACCAAGTATTCGGCAACATTGGAGTAGTCTTCGACTTTTACAAGGAGCACTTCAACTGGCATTCTATCGACAACAAGAATATGGATGTCATTAGCAGCGTTCATTTCGGTGAAAATTACGAAAACGCCTGTAGGTCCAAGACTTCCTGGCCAAGGTGCCTTCCCATCATCTTCAAGCCACTAACATCGCGCTCAAGTCTGGGATCCAGAAAAGGTACAAATGGTCTTTGGTGATGGTGGCGAGTTTCTAAACAACTTCACTTCATGCATCGACGTGATCGGACACGAACTCACCCACGCAGTCACGGAACACACGAGCCCTCTTGACTACTTTGGCATGCCGGGTGCTCTGAACGAGCACATTTCCGATGTCGTAGGAATCATGGTCAAACAACAGGTCCAGAACGAAAACGCCAAGAACGCAGACTGGCTCATTGGCGAGGACTGCATCCTGCCAGACGTCAAGGGCACAGCTCTGCGAAGCATGAAGGCGCCTGGAAGCGCCTATGATGACCCAAAACTTGTATGTCTTGAACCAGCCCCTATGACGAATAACATGAAACAATGGTACTAACGATGCACGAACTGTAGGGCAAAGACCCTCAAGTAGACCACATGGATCAGTACAAGACCGTGTACGAGGACAATGGTGGCGTCCACATCTATTCCGGGATTCCGAACAAAGCCTTTTATCTCGCCTCGGTTGCGTTTGACGGATATTCCTGGGAGAAGGCTGGGCAAATTTGGTGGAAGACAATGACCAGCGGCAAGATTCCACCCAAATGCAGTTTCAAGCAGTTTGCCACTGTCACCATCGAGATTGCAGAGGAGGCTTTCGGTAAGCCTGCTGCCGATAAAGTGAGAAACGCCTGGTTGGAGGTCGGCGTTGGTGGCGGTGACGGTGGCGACAAAAAGAATGCTCCCAAATCGGGGAGCTGGTGCAATGCACTCTGAATCCTAAATACTCACGCATAAAGGCATACATGCTGCCTCATGCCCGGCTCCTGACCTAGTATAGCTGTTTCTCTGGCGTCTCTAGTGTTAGAAAGCATTCCTATAGCAGACTAGACAAAGCAATACATCACTCTCACCACCTATACATTCATGTTGTCCTACTGTTCAACGATCACGAAGTAAACACATGACGGTAATTTGAATTTGCCTACACAGTCTTCAATTGGAAATGAAACGAAAGGCTATTCTTAAATCAGCAAGTCTTGCGTTGCTTCTTCGTCAGTGGGTTTAGCCCCAGGCTCGGTCAGAGTAGTGGCATCGACACCCTGCTGTTCCATCCACGACTTGTTTTGCTCTAAGTACTGCCTCACTCTCAGGCACAGCACTGACAATAGAATAGCGATCAAAGTGAAGGCGCTCAGCTTGATATACGCAGTCCCCAGCTGAGCATCCATCCCTCCGATCCTAGAGTCCAGCCCCTTGAGGAACCGAACAAGCGCCAGGCCCTTGAGCGTCAGGAGAGTCGAGGCTGCGGTGTAGCTGATGGCCAAGAGGACCAGATACCACGTGCGCATGCGGGTGCGGACGTCCGGGGTCAGCTTCTCGTCGCTCTTGAGGCACGGGCACAGGCCGTTCCTGCTCACGAGGCCCGGGCAGTAGCACCTGGTCAGGGCGGGGAGCCAGCGGATGCCGATCTCCTGGAGGAGGATGGCGAAGAGGACGGTGCCGGTGAAGTAGAAGAGCCAGAGGGCGGGCGCGGTGGTGAAGGAGGTTGGGGATAGCTTCTCGGCGTCCCAGGCTGCGAGGAAGGGGTTGTGGCAGATGCCGCCCTCTGCGCCGCGGTGGTTTCGGAGGCACTGCCAGTCGCTCTTGGGGAGCCGCATCCTCGCTGCCGCCTCGCCGAGGTCGTCGGGGAGGGTGAGGGCGGCGCCGGGGAGGAGGCCGTCGATGTTGTGGACGATGCCGCAGGAGAGGTCCCACGACGCGGAGGGCCACTTCCAGCCGAAGGCGTTGAGGAACCAGAGGAGGGTGACCTGGTAGTCTGGAGGGTCGCCGACGATGCCCCCGAAGCGGACGAGGGCGAGGGAGGAGAGGATGAGGCGGGCAGGGCCGTCTGGGTAGTCGCCGTCGAGCTGGAGGGTGCCGGCCTCGAGGGTGAGGAGGAGGGAGGCGGAGGTGAAGACGAGGCAGAGGACGGCGATTGCCGCGAGGGCGTGGCGGGTGATTTTGCGCTGGAGCGGGGAGAGAGCCATTGTGAGTGAGTGAGTGAGTGACAGGCGATCTCTGAGTGAGTGAAAGGCGCTCTCAAGGCTTTGGTTGGGTTCAGGATTGTGATGCAGCGGCGATCAAGTCCAGTCTCCAGCGAGAGATAAATACCCACCAAATGATGGGGAAGGAATATTAAATAAGAAACGGCGGAGCGACGTGGCTTGTGTCAAGTTAAGACTCATAAACAGTCAGTCATTATTTTGTCAGCGGGAGCGAACCCGTTCAGGCAATTCGGGATTTGCTAGTCTCGTGTTCGCTTAAATTGCCTTGGCTACCTTCTGAAGTGGCCAACTTGTTTTTTTATTAATGAATGCAACTCAAGCTGACTCTTATTTACTGTAAGCTCCCTTTTAGGAAGCGGCAAGACGTCAAACAAGGGAATTACATTGCAAAGAGGACGGCGCACAAGACAAGATATAGCATCTTCCATCCTCTTATACACTATCAAGCGATGCCCAAGGTTGCTAAGCTAGAAATTCAATACTTTCAATCAACATATATCCCTGTTTCATAGAGAAAACGAAATTGTCGGAGTGTTATCTACACGTAGCATGGCGAGGACTAGACCTCGTCCTCAAAGGTTCCCTCCGAATCATCCTCAATAAAGTCACCTATCCACAACAGAGGGGAATTTAGAGATTCATCGAGCGGATTTCTTCCGTCCTTGTCGGCCGACAAATACATGTCAGTGGCAGCTTGAAGCTTTTCGTCGAATATGCCCGGGTCTTTAAACTTGACTCGGCATTGGTGTCGAACTGCTACTTCATGTAGCAAATCCAGCACGGCTTTAAAGCTCCTCCATCTCAAGTCTAGTGACTCTAGGCAAATGGTATGTATTGTACCGGCTGGAGCGATTCCTTTACACAGATCCGAGATGTCATCCTGACTCAAACAGATGTTGCGAATAAATAGGTGTTTGATCCGTGGCCATCGGATTCTTTGGAAAACCGAATGGAGCGGTACCGCATTGAGGCAGTGTGCATCAAGGTGCGCCGACTCAAGGGCCGAGCTCATGAAAGCAGCGCCGAGATACCTGAATAAGTTTGACCGCTTTTCAACTTCCGGTAGGGACCAGCGGCCGACGAGAAGGCGGTTCGTGGACGGGCCTTCGAAACGGAAGAGTTCCAAGTGCACCAGTGCCTTTTCCAGGTCTTCCCATGAGCCTACAGATGGCTTCAGGCGGGGGAAGTCACCGGCAACTGGGAAACAGAAAAGCTTCAGCTGTTTCACCGCAATTCCTTCCTTCATTAGGGCCATTGGAAGATCGGCGAGAACCCCGACTGTATGGATGAGGGCATCTCTGTCAACTTCCCAAATCATGCCCCAGCTGCTTGGCGCGAGCAGGAAGCTCGACAATTGACTCTTGTCTGTCAGAGCAGGTGCATCGGTTTCTCTAGACATGTTCTGCATATGTTCATCAACAAAGGAAATGGCAATTGAAGACTTCGATCGAGCAACCGAGGACGCCAGGACGCGGGCGAACGATGCATCTTTCACCAGCAGGTATTGCTCTCTGTGCTTTGCCGCATACTGCTCATGAGCCTCCTGGAGAACCTGGCGATAGGCAGCAAATTTAGCTTCGTCCTCAGGGCGAACCTCCTCGAGGGCTTGCTCTTCGATGTCGTCCTCCAAAAAGCCGTCGTCCTCATAGAAGTGGCCGTGTACGCCTTGTTCTTCACCATACTCGAGGTGATCCTTCCACGCTTCTCTGATAGTATCGTAATTTCCAATTGCCTCTCCATAAAGCTCTACCAGCTGATGTGGAGTTTCCTCTCCTCTAGCACTTGCACTTGAATATTCATCCAGCTTCCAAGAGCAGTCTCTTTGTATCTCGCGTAGCTCCTCCATCTTGAGCATGGCAAATCGGAAGATGTGGTCTGCTATCTCCTTTGGACGGTACGCGAGCACCACCTTGATACTGCGGATGCCTGGAGATATGAGCGGAGTCTCGAGTAATCTGGTCGCGTGGGCGAGGGATTGCTCGTCGATGCGGACAATGAGCTCGTCCATAAGATGCGGCGAGGCGATTTGGTTGAAACGGCCGCATACTAGGCGTAAATTCTGAACGACTTGCCTGCGTTCCTTCTCAAATTTCCAGTCTTTGTGCTGGTCTGAGTCTCTCGGTTTAAAATAAGAGAGGATTTCGTATAATACATCATCAGGAAGGCTTGGAATATTGCCATCGTAGGACGCCGAATTCTCTGCGCTGCCAATGTTACTGTCGGAATCTTGAGCGATATCCATGCTAGTTTCCCCCGCGTCGCTTCTCCCACGATCCGAGTTCCCCCTGTTCTCTCCATTCTCCCACCCTCCCCTTTTATTTTCTCGGTTTTGCAACGTAAAAGGGGTCCTGTGCTTCATTGACCTAGGCTTGGCTCGATACTTGGTCTGACGGTTTGGACTGGTAACCGTTGACGGCCGAAGGTGAAATTTTGTGGAAAATCGGATCCGGTTGGAGAAAAAATATCTCGGAGGTTAGAGATTGGAACAAAAAAAAAGCAGTCTAGTTGTGAGTCTGAGGATATATATGGTTGTTTCAAATCGGGGCGAGGGGTAGTGGCTCGGGTGGCCCAAGTAAGCTGACTTTTGTTGTGTACGACGCACCCAATCTCGCTAAGGGCATTCAGCTAGGGCCCTTTGATACTATGAGCTACTAATAAAAGAGCTTGCATAAATGAACAGAGCATCATATCATCACTCGTCGGTTGGAGCCGTAATAAGGTGAAGAGATGGTACCAGACACGACGATGCAGCAGCCACTGACATTGGGTAGGTAGTTTCCACCGGAAACACTGCTTAACGGGACCTTCATGGAGGCGGTGGAAATCACAGTCCTCAGTGAACGGGCTTATTAACCTTGTGTGTGAGAGCGCCATGAAGTAATTTTACCACAGGTTCGTTCAGACAACAAAGACTCAGCCAGACCAGTTTCTGCAATCTGATCAAGACTAGGAAACATCACGCATATCATTTCAGGAGTAGAAAGCTCGTGTTTGAGCATCTCGCTTTGAAAAATAGCCTGCTACATTCTAGACTGGCATTTCCTGAATGAAGCTATTAAAGAACGATATGTCAATATCTTCGGCCACACCTTCGTTCTCATTCAGCTCCTGGATCGGTAGTAGAAAGTCCAAGCCTCCATCTTCAGTTCCTTGAGATGCCTTGGCAAGATGATCACGCGTGACAAAGGGCATGAGCTGCGCCAAAGAAGGGTTTTGCAAGATGGGACTGCAAAGTATTTTAGATTGCTGCACTTCCCGAGCTTGATTCGAGATTAGTCGGCGTTGAGCCGTAGATTCCGCGGGCTCGGGTGCCGAGCTGGAATCACGGCTTGTTTTGGTTGGGAGTCGTCCTTTTTGGCCAGGACCGCGCTCGATCTTGACGACCCATATATGGGGGAGATGAATAGTCAATACGGAACCATCTGCACTCAATTTGAAATGACTGCCGCCGGTCTCTTCCTCTCTCTCCACATCAGAGTCCATGCACGAAGTCACCGTATAGCTCGACCCGGCCGCTGCGTCCTCCTCGATGGCCAGGAGATGCTCCAGTAAGGTGGCCACCATTGATCCAATGGCATCGTCATTCACACACGCCATGTCCGACATGTACTGCATTGTGTGTTCCAGCAAACCACGATCACTCAATCGCTGGTGTACGAGGAAAAGAAACCCCCCATCGTCAGTCCTCCGACGGCTATGATCACATATGTGAGCAAGCCCAAGTGCCGTGCAGGCGAGGAAGGCGAGAAGATCCACGCCGCGACAGTAGTACCCAGTTGGCCGGAAAGTGCGAAAGCTGGCAATCCTAGACAGGATCTCGCGGCTGGCAGAGATGGCTGCCATGCGACTATACTCGTGGTCGCGTGAGCTTTCCAGGGGCAGGAGGTACGGGAGATGCAAGTGAACCAGCATATGGTAGTGCATGAAGTGGCCGTTGAAGCGCAGGGTATCGCGGATCGTGTCCATCTGGCCGTGGCACGAGGACAATGTAGGGGTTAGCCACCACTGAGGCGGCAGTGATGCCGACGAGTCTTGGAGCAGGTTATCAATCTCCTTCGTCTTGGCTGGGTCTACCGCGTCTGTGGGCGTGCGACGCAGAAGGCGTCCTGCAGCGGCGCAGTTTAGACGCTGCATTCGTTCCTCGGGTGTGCAAGTGTCCAGAATGTCTGGCTTGGCGAAGCTGTCGTCAACAGACATGGGCGGTAGCCCCAGCATAATGGAGAGGTAGCGGTCCAGCTGAACCAGCCGGAACCAGACGTGATCAGGCTTGAAGGCCGCACTCGTCAAGGACGTCGGCCTGACGCCTCGGTGAAGGCCCAGCATCTGGGCAATGGTCACAGCACGGCGTGTCGCAAGCCATGATGGTCGGAGGCTACCAGAGTACGACTCGTAGAGGCCCTCGAGCATGAGGCATTCGATGCCCTCAATCGATGCGACCAGCTCGTCGTTTGAGGTTACGAGGTGGTGGGCCTTGGAAACGGCACCGGCCATGAGTTCCCGCCGGCTTACCCTGAGATTCTCGAGATGCCCCCAGGATGTTGGCGGTATGCCTTGGAGGAATGTGGCTAGGAGGAGGAGTTTCCGGGCAATCAATACCGGATGAGACGAAGGCGACGGTAGCTCGAGCAAGGTCTCGGGTGATGGCAGTTCCATCTCGGGGGGGTTGACAGGCCGGGTGAGGCTTGCACCACGTATCATGGCAGAAGTGTGGACAGGGGCGCCCAGGATGATTTCCATGTCTCGTGCCGCTGGCCATGCAGAGAGAAGCTCCCGGCACACGGAATCATATTTTCCTGGAGAGGTCCTAGACTTTTCCGTCGAAGGGACGTTTTCTTTGGCCGATGCTGCTATAGTTGTTTGAGTAGTGCCTGGCCTTGTTGTATGAACATGGCTTTGCCCTTCCCTGGCAGTATTCTGAAAATTCCACAGGTTAGCATATACACACTTCACAAGATACTCGATGCTTCAGGCACAAGACATACCAAGGAGTTTTCTATCTCAGAATAGTCAGACGAAAACAAAAAAGAATAATCGGCCAAGAATGATGGGATTTCGTCACCAATAACCGCAGGCAGAGGGGGCTGCTGTGGCCTCCCCGATGGTGATGAATCCCCATGTTGGTTCTGGTCGGCGGCCTGAACAAGACGGCCAACCAGGGCTTCGACTTGGGCCAGCCTGTCCACAAGATGGCGATTGCTCCCACCGGACGCCGGCTGGTCTGGAAGATCCTGGGGAATGCAGCGTGTGCCACGCAGCTTGCAGCCATGACAGACGGTGTCTACTGCTCCATCAGCTGTGGAAAAGGAGCACCGGGCCTTGCGGCGTTTGCACTCCCAGCAGCTCGAGGTGCCCTTGCGGAGCTTCCGGCGCTTCGGGGCCGGAGCCAATGAGTCGTCTGGGTTTAGTGAAGGTGCCTGTTCCATTGCCAAGGTTGATTGCGAAGAGTCGACCCCCGCATGCTCGGCTCCCGGTTCCAAGCTGCCTGTGTGTGTCGGTGTGGATGTGGATGTGGAGGTTGTTGGCATTTCCTCCGCCGGTGAGACGGAGGTATTACTAATTGTCTGGCCACCCGCTCAAGGGTATCAGTGCACATTCCTCGAGAATTGGAACAGCCAGAATATTCCCCCTTATACACCCGGCTGATCGGTGGAAGCCCAATTATTGTTCTCTTCAGAACGGAAGTGGGATTCCTAACACCGGTCTTTAAATCCATACTATACATCCCGTATAGTTAGAGTATAAATAAGACCAGTGACCCAAGCTGTAGGCTCCCATTGTGAAGAGAGCCACCACCAATCACTATCTCTGCCTTCGACTCAGTTCACATTGAATAATTTGATTTTACGTCTGAGTTCATTGGATAATTTTTCATCGAAATCAAGTTCCATAATATTCGTCGAAGTCAATCATCATGGTTAGCATCGCGATTGCTGGCGGGGCAGGCAGTATGTTTCATAAAATACAGGGGATTTATTTCCTTGCTATTCTAATCTTTTATTAACAAATTTAGATGTTGGTCGAGAGATTATCGATGCCTTGGTTGCTTCCAACAAGCATGACATCCTAATTCTGTCTCGAAAAGTTCGTTGAATCCTCTTCCAATCTCATTCCCAGGTCCCATCCTCTGACATGATTTTTCCAGGAGGGCCCAGCAACTCCAATCGCGCCCGGAGTCAAATGGGCCCAAGTATCGTATGACGACGTTGACGGGTTGACACGGGTCTTGGAAGGAATAGACACTGTGCTATCCTTCATCGCTGAGCCCTACAACCCAGGTTCCGCCAACCCTTCGACCCAACGGGCCCTCATCGATGCTTCTATCAAAGCCGGCGTAAGGCGCTTTGCTCCCAGCGAGTGGGCTACGTAAGTATTGCGATCGTTGACGCTATTGCCATGTGCTCTTTACTCATACCTTCGCTGGTCAGGTCTCACTTTGAGGGAATGCCTTGGTACTCTTTCAAGAACGATACTAGGGACTACCTTGCCGAACTAAACAAAAAGGAGAAGGTTGGTTCAGCAGTCATCCTCATGTATTTGGGATTTCTACTGATGTGAGCCCACGCCCTCTTCGATAGGTCATTGAGTATTCGCTATTCATTCCAGGGCTTTTCACCAATTATCTCACTTTCCCTTTCCGATCCTCCAAGCACGTCGAGCTTTTCGAAATGCCAATCGACTTCTATCGCCGTCGAATGATAACCCTGAAGGGCCACGAAGATGACATCATTACCTTCACAACTACCCAAGATATGGCCAAAGTGGTTGCCCGGGCTGTTGACTATGAAGGAGAATGGCCAGTCTTCGGTGGCATTGTCGGCTCCAATATCACCATCTCCCAGCTCATAGCCCTCGGGGAGAAGATTCGTACGTCAGCCCTCATCCTATTCGTGCCCCTTTTCACTGACCGTTATTCCATCCAGGTGGTCCTTTCGAGGTTGAAAAACTCAGCCTGGATGACCTCAAAGCCGGGGTCGTCAAGGCCTCTTGGCTCCCCAAGGTCACACATCCAGCTATCCCTGTGGAGCAGCGTGAGAGTGCTGCCGGGCCTCTCCTTGCTGGCATTCTCTTGGGTATCCACAATGGTTGTTGGAAGGTGAATAACAATGCATGGAACGAGCTACTCCCGGATATTGAGCTTTCTCGGCCTGAGGATTGGTTGGTGGATGCTTGGGCCAAGATTGATGCCGGTGCCCAGAGCGTTCACACTAGCGAGTAAAATGCTATCGTTTCAATATTCTTCACATTACTTGGATTTAGAACAAGGGGGCTTATTTTGTATGCACGCCTGTAGTATCAAGGAAGCATAATCATCTGGCTCCCTCGAAGGAGGACCTACTACAATGTCTCGTCTACTATTTATTTATCGCGAATAGGAAATGGCAGATTAAATTTTTGATTCATAATGATATACTTGTCATTTCATGATATTACGGTTGAGGGAAAATGCCCTTGTACTTGAGCAAAGCCTCTTGAAACGGCACAGGCTTTCGACCGGTCAACTTCTCAACCGTATCGCTCGTCTCGCTCATAAACCCACGAGCCACCATTTCACCACAGCACAGCAGGTCTCCCATGCAGAGCTTCATAGGAAGCTTGGAAAAGTCACCCGTGAAATCATCCGGGAGACCCTTCTCATGCCACCACTGCTTCAGCTCCTCATCCGGCAAGTCGACAAAGGTAGCCTTGTAGCCGGTCTGGGAGCAGATCCAGTTGAAGACGGTCTCGTTCGTCACGGCCTCGGGGCCGGTCACGTCGTACACCTTGTTAGGCTCGCCCTTTCCGAGGAGCAGAGCGGCGAACACGCGGCTACAGTCCTCTCGGGCAACGTAGGCGCCAGCGGCGCCGTGGGTGTTTGTGAGCCAACGGTCACCACTGAACTTCCAAGAGGGAGCAAACAGGGTGGGGATGTTATCGGCGTAGAGGTAGTTTCTCTGGATGCTGTAGTCCAGACCAGAGGCGTATACGATCTGCTCGATAACATGGTGGTCACGGGGCAGGAAGGGAATATCCTCCTCTTTCTCAGCCTGGATACCCGCTCCAACAAAGGAGGTGTAGCAGACCCGCTTCACGCCGAGCTCCTTGGCCACTTTAACAATGTTCCGGGCTTGTTGACGGCGGCCTTCGCCAAACAGCCAGGTGGAGATGAAAGCTACTGCTTCAGCGCCCTCGAATGCTACCTTGAGGCTTTCAAGGTCGTCATAGCTGGCCTCAAGGACCGTGATGCCCTTGGCTCGCCATTCCTCAACGGTCTTGGGATCTAGGATGGATAGCTTATAGGATGTGAGCACGAGCTCATCCCCGGGCTGAAGGATCTCCACGGCATACTGGGCAGCAACACTGCCCAGATTTCCGTCAATACCAGTGAGGACAAACTTGGTCATTGTGGGTAGAATATAGTATAACACAAAGAGATGTAATAAGGTGAGAATATATCAAGAGTACACAATGATGAATACTGCCCTCCCTTCACTTTTGGAAAGGTAACCCCTATTTATGCTTCCCGACAAGACGGATATCTCCCGTACGCCGGGAATACGGAAGTGTACTCAGTTACGTACAGTTTGAGTTTCCAGCATTAGCCATCTCGCATAGAAGACCAGTCAGGCCACGGCGTGGGGTGATGGAACTCCACAGTGCCGCTCGAGCATCCGTCTTTTCTTGAATAAACGGGGCTGGGATCCACGGCAGACCCGGCCACATGCTCTGCCCATCATGCGTTTTAGGCGGCGCCAGCTAATGGCAGTATGACAAACCATCCACCGTTTTATCGGGCATCCCACCTTATGCCGAGTGGAGATATTCGTGGAAGGGACCGGGCGTGCCTGGAAGAGTGGAGGAGGCAACAAGACGGTGAGATCATGGACACTGGTCAAGACGGGCATTCCAAGCATGTTTACACGTTTATTTCGGTATACTACTCGATGGCATTATTATTAGGTATAATTGTTTTCATTCCATACAGTTCGTTGACAGATTTTCATCCGTTTCATCCATGGAGCCCTCCCGAGGGCTCTTATCCGTTGTCTGCTTCGCTTGCTTCCGGTGGGTCACATCCGGCTCTGACCTGGTGCCCTTCCGGTAGTTCTCATCCGTCTCTTATTTATACTCGTTTCCGGCAGTTCTCACCCGTCCCTCGTCTGGACGACCGACTTCTTGACTGTGATGCTCCACGGATTCGCCGATCGCGTTGGCCTGGTCGCAGCAAGGTCAGACTGGCTGCTGTTCCAGTCGTCCACGCGATTGTCCGAAGTCTCGGATCCATTGTCCCTCGCCTTCTGGCCCTCGAGATCGAGTTTGCTGGCATTTGCGTCGGCGTCGTCGTCGTGCTCGATGACCGTCGTGTTGCCCATGCGCTTGTCGGAGCGATCTCCCAGTTCAAATACGTCGGTGGTTGGGTTTTTGCCGCTGCCGGTTCGATGCCACTGCCGGCCGGATGTGTCGCCTGCCTGGGCAGAGGATCCTCCGCCCAGGAAGACGCGCAGCAGTGGTCGGAGAGTGGCGAAGCCTGCTGCACTGATACCGAGGCCGGTTTCGACGGTTGACCAGATGGCGACGTCCGAGGTGGAGTAGAGGAAGTCGTCGATATCGGTCAGTGAATGGAGATAGGGGAACCGGACAATAGTAGCACTTGAGGCACTGTTCACGCAAGTGTTAGCCAGTGTTGTACTTGAAACTGCAGACCATCTCATTCGAGAGAATGCGAGATAGAAAGGGAGTCGTAGGGGTCTTACATGGCACCGGCAGCCAAAATCAGAATGACCGAGATCTTGACTCTGGTGTTCATTTGGAGATTCCAGACCATGAACACGGGGAGAATGCTCAGGGTCCAATCTGTGATACAGCTGATTACAGAGTATCCGTAGAAGGCGCCGGCCACGATCTTGGCGTCCATGCAGCTCCCCGCGGGAGGGTCGGCGGTGTATCGAAGCCAGAATAGCGAGGTAGGTCGGCACTGCAGAACGAACAGCAAGAAGAAGAACAAACTGTAGACTTCTGTGATTCCCGTTACGATCCAAATGGCGATGACATGTGCCCGCTGAACACAAATCCGTAACAAAAAGATGGCAATACTAGCTTTGATGAACATGTTGGTCAACACGTAAAGCGGCTCGCAGGTCCACCACATCTATGTGCCAGTATGTTAGCTCACGTATGAGGCGTTAGATGCCCTGCCGGTCCTCACCTGCATAGCTTTGGAGAAGTGTTCAACGGAGAGCCTTGAGTTATGCTGGCCGGTGCCATAGTGGACACCAGTGATTTCATATACGCTGAAGATAGTGTAGAGGATCTAGATGTTCGCTGTTAATGGAAGTTGATGCAGAGTATTGTGGCAGGGAGAGGCGGACTTGTGCGCCGACTGCAAGCCAGTCGTCTATAGAGAAGGCTTTTATGACCCATCCTCGGCAGTAAACTCGAAGTATAG